GGATAGTCCGCCCATTCTTGCGAAGATGTTAAAATTCTTCACCACTGTTACTGTATAATCTAGAGTTTGTAGCCTTAACGGCTAAAAGGTTTTCGATGAAATTTGGTACGGATGTATAGGATAATATGGAAGAACATATAGGCTGCTCACTTTTGTTGTTTTTAGTTCCGCTCAGAGTGTAATATAGAAATTAAAAATAACAAACCTGTTTAAGCAATTTCACATAGAAAATACAAAATCTTACCTGTTTATAATTAGTACAATGTATGTATTGCAGATGCTGTTAGAATACTGCGACGGCGGCGCGCTGGACTCGGTGATGGCGGAGCTGGAGAAGGGGCTGAGCGAGGCGCAGATCGCGTACGTGTGCCGCGAGATGTGCCGCGGCCTGCAGTTCCTGCACTCGCGCCGCGTCATACACAGAGACCTGAAGGCGGGCAACGTGCTCGCTACTATGACTGGTGGAGTTAAATTAGGTCAGTTTACGGAAAAAAGGTTAGTTTACGGAAAAAAAGGTCGGTTTACGGAAAAAAAGGTCGGTTTACGGAAATAAAAGATCGGTTTACGGAAAAAAGGTCGGTTTACGGAAATAAAAGATCGGTTTACGGAAAAAAGGTCGGTTTACGGAAAGAAAGGTCGGTTTACGGAAGCAAAAGGTCAGTTTACGGAAATAAAAGGTCAGTTTACGGAAATAAAAGGTCAGTTTACGGAAATCGAGCGTCGGTGGCTCAGAGGTTTGTGCACTTGACTTGTAATCTACAGGTCTTGGGTTTGAATCCCGCCATACTAAGGTGATTTTCTATTTTTCGAATTTCATATGTACATAATTTACCCGATGGTCTTACGGTGTAGGTTAACATCGTGATGCACATATCGGCGAAGTAATTTAGAGATATGTGCGAGACACACAGTTTTGTAATGTTTATTAAAATTAGTCAAATTTTAAATTGGCAGCATTCAATATCTATTAGTAACATAATCTACAACAATGTACTACTACAATGATCGCCATGATTAAAAAAATGGGTTAGTTTAGTTTTTTTTTAATTTCTTAGCAACCCAATCCCACTGTATTTATTTATTTTATGATTTAATAATTCGGTAGATATGGTTAAAACAATGTCTATATAAAATTGTGTAAAACTTCCCAGAAGTTAACATTCTAACGGCTGGTTTCCCAGCTTTTTACCATTCGTTAGTGTTTTTGATTCGATGACTTCATTTCATTTCCCAACTACGTAACTTGAGTATTATTCCATTGATACTTAGGTCAATCTAACACTACTGAAACGTTAGGTAATGGCAAAATATGTGAAAACTTCGGAAACCTAGCGTAAGATATCTGATAGTGTATTTGATTTGCAGCTGACTTCGGTGTGTCGGCGAAGAACAAGTCGACACTGCAGAAGCACGACACGTTCATCGGCACTCCGTACTGGATGGCGCCGGAGGTGGTACTCTGCGAGACCTTCAGAGATCATCCTTATGATTTTAAGGTCAGTTTTAAATAATTAAAACATAAGGGTAAATAATTGTATGGATTACATCGATTTAAATTTAATCCATAAAATCATTCACTCATACACACGGGAAAAAACTCTCAATGGGAAACCACACAGTATAATAAAACGTAAATACACTTTGCTATGTAAGATGTCAGTAATCTTACTAATATTAATGCGTTTGGATGGATGTTTGTTAGAGTTTGTAGCCTAAACTGCTAAACTGATCTTGATGAAATTTGACATAGATTAAAGGATAGTCTGGAAGAAAATATAGGCTACTCACTTTTGTTTTTTTTTTATAATTACGCGGACGGAGTCGCGGACGAATGCTAGTCACAAATATTTTTGAATAATTCGACATGCTATAGGCTATATATATTCACGCTGTTTAATAGAAGGGAGGAAAGGTAATTAGAAAATAAATCATCCGAGAAAGAGACTACTGAACTGATCTCGATGAAATGACACAAATGTGGAGATAGTCTGGAAGAACACATAGGCTACTTTTGTTATTAATTCCACGTGTATGTAGTCCCAGGCATAATTTGAAGATTTAATGATTCCACTAGGCTCGTCTTGTAAAAGCCAGGGTTCTTCCGTCTTAGTGCCAGTTATAACCGCTTTATATTTTTCAGGTGGACATCTGGTCGTTGGGTATCACTTTGATCGAATTCGCTCAAATGGAGCCTCCCAACCACGAGATGACACCGATGCGAGTTTTGCTCAAGATACAGAAAAGTGACCCTCCAGCACTCGACCAGCCCTCCAGATGGTCAAAGCCATTTAATGACTTCATCGCTAAGGCACTAGTCAAGGTAATGTAGCATTTATCTGTACTATTATAATAAAGCGTAAACACACACTTCTTTGTTGCCTAAGATGTCAGCAATTACACCATATTTTTGAATAATTATATTTTTAATAAAAAGCCCTACACTTACGTCACGCTTTAGGCTATTTTCACGCCATTAAACTTAGGGGGTAAATATTTTGGATAAAAACCCTAGTGTGGGAAAGAGACCATAAGTTGCTGCCAACATCAAGGAAGCAATGTGTCACGGTTTGCCACGTCCTCTTTTTGACATTTAACATGTAAACAATAAAATAAAATTTTGATAATTCTGTGCGGATGAAGTTGAATGGGAACAGCTAGTCACAGTATATTTTAGAATTATTCTCTCTTTAATAAAAAGCCCTACACTTATATGCTTTAGGCTTTATTTTGACACTATTAAACTTACATGTGGGAAAGGGATCATAAACTACAAGCTGCCAACATTAAGGAATTTAAGTTATAATGGTATGGTAAAAAAAAGTTTTTATAATATCATGCGGATGAAGACGCACGGGAACAGCTAGTAATATTATAAAAAGGACAGATTTGTATTTTTGTACGTATTAAAATAACTCAAAAACTACTGTTCCGATTTTGAAAATTCTTTCACTGTTAGAAAGGTAATTAGTAGATATATGTGAGTAATATAGGCTCTTTTTTAAACTAACGCGGACGAAGTCACATGCAACAGCTAGTAAAGAATATAACACTTGGTTTCCAGGATCCAGAGAAAAGGCCTACATCCAGTGAATTACTGAAGCACGAGTTTGTTTGCGGAGAATTAGACTCGAAACCGCTAAGAGATCTGCTGCTGGAGTACAGAGCTGAGGTGGTCGAGGAGGAACTGCTGGATGATGACTCTGAGGTCAGTAGACCAGAAGACCGAAAGACCAGTAGACTAATCATACTTCATACTAATATTATAAATGCGAGTTTAAATGGATGTTTGTTAGAGTTTGTAGCCTAAACGGCTGAATTTCAATGAAATTTAGTACAGATGTAGAGAATAGTCTGGAACACAGGCTACTTTTTTTTTTTTATTCCATGCGAACATAATCGCGGGCGAAGACTAGTTACTTTTCTTTAACTTAGTTGGTAATATTAATGTTAATGACGATGACTGTAGTCACAGAAAGACTGAAGTCAGGAGACCAAAAGACCAGTAGACTAGTAGGCCGTTTGCAGATGAATTTATGTATGTATGTAAAAGAATGTATATTTAGATGAAAGATTGTGTTTATTAAGAACTAGCTTTCGCCCGCGACTCCGTCTGCGTGGTATTAAAAAAAAACAAAAGCAAGTAGCCTATGTGTTCTTCCAGACTATCCACTACATCTATGCCAAATTTTATTGAAATCCGTACAACAGTTTAGGCTACAAACTCTAACAGACATCCATCCATCCATCTAAACTTTCACATTTATAATATTAGTATGATTTATTTTTAAATTTATTATCTAGTGGTATTCAAATCTACATTAATTAATTATAATATGTAATATTAAAACACATAATTATTTGAAATTTATTGAATTTTGCTATATTTTACTAACAATATTTGTACGCAAAAATATAAGCATATCCTGACTAATGCTTTATATCATATAGCTATAATTATTATGTACAATCGCGGAAATCTGCGGTGTTCTAAGGAAAAATTGCCTTGTTCATTCCAACGAGACAAACTCCGCCTCACAAATAACTTTTGGTAGAGCCCACTTTAACATCTTCGCACGAATGGGTCGGCCCGTCCGGTGTAATACCCACAGAAGTGGTGAAATGGAAGCAATTCCGTATTTCGTCTGATGAGTGTGGTGCCGGAGGCCTAATTTAAGTCCCTTTCTCTTTACCACCCTTTTCTTAAGAGGAAAGGATGAGAAGGAAAAGTGGATTTGACAGTGGAGAACACGCATAGGAAGGGGAAATGTCTATGTGGGTCTCCTTCTCCGTTAATTCAGGGTAGGCAACGCATTTGCAATTGCGGATGTTTATGTGCAGCGGTCGCTTTACATTTCGGTGGATTCAGGCCGCTTGCGAGTTTGCCACCTTATATTATAAAAAAAACTAATTAGATAGCAGTAAGCAAACGAAGGGATGAATAAAACTAGACTTTTTGTAGACACATTTAACCCTTAAATAATTGAAGTTTCAAATTTGATACCGGGGTTTATAAATCGCATTGGGCTGTAATCGAATTTATTTTAATATTTGACTATTTACTTGTTTCCTTTGACTGATAATCTTCAAGTTAGAAAACAAAAAGGAGCATATCACGGATATATAAAAACATCGTTTTGATTTTTTTACTATTTTTCCCTATTACTAAAAAACAGTAAAGGGTATAATTAATTTTGTATTTAAAAAATCAGGCTTTTAAAGATTATAAGCGTTGTATTGTTTTTTTCCACGTCGTTTTAAATTGTTGAAATCACTGTAGCTTTAAGGAACACCGCCAGTTTCCCTGATTGTACATTTATATATTATAACACGTGTTGCCCCGCACGCTTGCTATAGAACAAGAGGAAGGGTAGGACAAAAAACAAGGAGCAGTATCAGAGAATTGGTTAGTATATATTGTTAACGTTTGTGTAGAAAAAAAATTTCACGCCCTTTTAATATGAGGTTTTAGGAACGATCATAGCTGAAATTATATGCACATTGTAAGCGTGGTTTATAATTTGACAGGAGTTAGATTTCAATGGAGTTTGTCGTCTCAGTATTCGGCCATTATCGTATCTAAATAAGCTTGTAATTAAAAAAATTATGTTCACAGTAAATATTGGGATTTGAACCCATGACCGCTAAAACTGGAATTTATTCCATTTTTTAAACCAATGGGGGGATAAAATTGTAATTATTTTGGAAAAGACGTGATTTTAGACGTAATAATTTAATATTGCGGTTGTGTATTTGTCTCTTATTCGCGTATTAACACAAAAAAAATGTAGTAATAATCAATAGATTTACTTTATGAACAATACGTTTTATAGGCTTCGGATCAATGTTAGGCGATCTATTAGAAAAAAAAGTAAATATATTAAAAATTGAACATGTTGCTATCTCTGTTCTTCTCGATATGTTAGAGAGAGATGGCAATATAGATAAGGAACATTCTAGAAGGGCGTACGTTAATTGTGTTTGTGTATGGCTTACATTGCATGCGAATCTGACGGCCAGCCGCGAGAGCCTCCGCCCTCGTCGAAGGTACAAGATATACTCTACTAGCTATGACATAAAGTTCATTTTTGTTTGATATGTCCGTATTCTGTTTCAAGAATAGATCCTTCATTATTTTTATTGATTTGGAATAATGCCTAAAAGCAATTTAAAATAATAGTTTGATATTTTTGTCTAAAAATAACTGTATTTATGTTAATAGTTTCTACTTTGCTGTTTTTTTTTAAGTAAGAGTCTATGCCTAGTAATTGTTCTGCAAAAAACAGATAATTTGATAACCTTCTTTTGAGAAGTCAGTTAAAATTTATATTAAACGATTTCGTTGGATTAAGTAAGATTTTGTTAATAATTTTAATGTATCCAGTTCAATCTGTTGTTTTACTTTTTTATATTTATTTAAATTTGCTACACCTTTGAAGCACATAACATAATAATTGTTTCCTAACACTTTATGCTTTTTATTGTCTTGTTTTTTACAGGTTTTTTTACTTATAAATACTATATTATCCATCTTAATTTGTTTAAAGCATGTGTATTTGGTTATTCGACGATTTTCTTACATTTAGCTATTAAATTTCATAGTTTTTAAGACTCCGAATAAGTTTTAGAAGATTGAATTATCACAGTTTTTTGTAGTTCGCTTTGAATGCATTTTTCGTTATTTTTCTGGACAATGCATTTTGTAATTTGAGGCAGATTTTGTTCCTTTTTTAATACTTTAGTCGTTTTGTCAAATTTTCTGTTTGTATGTTGTATGATGTTGTATGTATGTGTTGCAGGAGCACCGCAGCTCCCAGATGCACATGGAGATAGAAGATGACTCTACGTCGGTGCGCTCGGGCGAGACGCCGGACATCAAGAGTTAGTATTTCTTTGTATTTATTTAAAATACTCGCTGTTGCTCGTGACATCGTCCATGTGGAAGTAAAAATAAAAAAAACAGATAAATTACCTTTCTAACGGTGAAAGAATTTTTAAAATCAGCCCAGTTGTTATTAAGATATTTCAATACAAACAAAAATCCCAGAATACCAATTTTTCCTCTTTATAATATTAGTATAGATAAGAAAATTTTTTGAAAATTCCCTAATATTTCTTGTACTATTCCATCTAAGCTATATTCTCGTGTTAAGATATAGGATATAATATACGCGATGTCGTTAAAAAACTACATTTTTATATTACTTTGGATATTATTTAAAATCTTTGATCTTAGAATAAGCTAAACATAAGAAGGAATCGATTAAAGTCTTTTAAAATATCTGTAATAATAATTTTGTTAACGAATGAAATGAAATTTACTGTAATATATTTTAATATTGTTTTTATTAGTGTCGGAGGAGCCATCAGCGGGCACTCCGTCTCCGCCGGGCGCGCCGCGAGTCTCCCGCCCCGCCTCTCCGCAGCCCGCGGCCACGCCCCCCGCCGCCGCCCCCGCCCCGCCCACAGCCGCCGCACTCGCCCCCGCCCCCGCCCCCAAGCGTCCACACGACGACGACCACCAGCACGCTGACAGGAAGGCACCCGTCAGTACATACTGTTATTCTCAGCCATTGTCAAGGGCCTTCCTATTGAAGCATTTTCATTTTTAGGAAATGTAAACGGTTTTTATAATTTCATACGGATGAAGCCGCACAGAAACAGCTTATCTATACTGTTAATAAAATTGGGGCGTCTATACAAAACATTATGTATTTGGGTTGCTGATGCGAGAACTAGGCTACTTTTATTACTCGGCACTTACAAAACCGCTGGCAACCGCTAGTTGTGGAATGTTTAACAAGCAATAATGTTAACAACGAAAGATACGACAACCTTATTGTAATGTTCGAGAGTAATATTTGTTATGTTCGTGAAAATAAAGTAACCTCCATTGTTACATTTTATTAAAAAGTTTTTTAATGCTTGTATTAAACAAATCGTCAATATCTAAAAGTTACATTGAATAAAATTTGTAATATTCTTTACAGGCCCCCAAAAAGGAGAAAGGCCCAGCGCCGCCGCCCCCCGCGTCGCCCCAATCACAACCTACCTTACCCCCTACACCCACGCCCGTTACCCCCATCGCTCCCGTCACCCCCCTCGCCACCCCCAGCACGCCCACCACGCAGCCATCATTACCAACACAAGCCTCCCCCACGTCTACGTCACCCGCCACGCCCACAACCGTCGACAGCCCCGCCCCCCGCACGCCCAAGAAGCAGCCCGCCCCGCCCCCGCCCGCAGCGCCCGCACCCCCTGCAGCCCCCGCAGCGCCCGCAGCCGCCGCCGCTGGCAGACATATTGTTGATCAGGTAATTTCCAAATATATGTTACATGTAAAGCTAAAATTAGTTGCAAATAAACCAGAAATGTTCAGTCTAAATTAGTGCTTTGTTTAAAAGATAAAAGTCACAGACTCATAACTGATAGATGGAGTGTGTCATACAAGTTTAACCAAGTGGCGACCTGAATTCGCCAAAATAGCGAATCTCCCGCTCCCCATAGACTACTGCAAAATATACTTTGCCTAACTTTAATAGACGGAGACGCACACAAAAGGAATATTTTCACTTACTATGCGTCCCCTAATCAAATCTGGTTTACCTTACCATCCTTGTAAGGAAAGATTGGGAAGAAAAATGGACTAAAATAATCTTTTTATTACATTTCTTAATAACATTTTTAATTTAATAGGTATGCAGAGAAGCCGAAAAAGTTGTTGAGCAAAAAACCGACAAAACATCAGAAAAATTACATATCAGCGAAAAACCAAAGCACGATAACAGACTGAATAAATCGACAGAAGAGAAGATAAATACAGAAGTAAGAGTATCAGAGAGAGATAAAGAACGTTCTAGATCTACTTCTACAGATTTAGATAGAGTAGTAGAGACGAGTAGAGTTACCGCAGAAGTAAATAGGATAGAAAGGGAGAACAGATCGCGGTCTGTGGACGACAAGGATAGAGTTAGTATAGAAGTGACTAGACCTGGAAGATTAGAGAAGAAGGAATATTCTAGATCTAGTTCTGTGGAAGAAGATAGAGTACAGAATGCGGTGGAAATTAGACCAGTTACTGTGAGTATAGTTTTGTATTTTTTTTAACTGAAAATTCGATTGATTTATTTGAAAAGCACGCTTTTTTTAATTGATTTTTTTATGTTAAAATATCTGGCGGCAATTACTCATGAGAGTTTTCAAAACAGTTAACTTTGTATATATTTTGGATTTTTATTAATATTACTAGCTTACGCCCGCGACTGCGTTTGTGTGGAATTAAAAAAACAGTAGCTTTTGTTTTCTTCCAGACAATCCTGTATGAGTTATACCAAATTACAGCGAAATGCATTCAGCAGTTTAGGCTACAAACTCTAACAAACATTCATCCATCTATTCCAACTTTAGCATTTTAATATTACCAAATGTTACTAATGTTATATAATATGATTTGGTAGTATTGCATTTCTGCAAACTTTTTACACTACTAATAATAAAGGTGTATTATTTTTAGTTTTTGTAACAGTGTACAACCCAGACGTGTAAACCGATCTTAACAAGTAAGGTGTCATTTGATTCGTATTCTTATTTAAATGAATAAAATGCTTTTCCAGCCGCCATCATCCCGACGAGACATCCGGCCAGCTGTAGCGGCGGTGACGGTGGTGGCGGTGTCCGCGGAGCCCAACTCGCTGGCGGCTTCGCCCGCGGGACTCGTCACCGTCACTACAACACATCCACCTGTTTTGAATACTTTGACGGTGAGAATCTATATCTATACTATTATAATAAATCGTAAACACACTTCTTCTTTGTTGCCTAAGATGTCAGCAATTACAGCATGTTTTTGAATAATTCTTTTTTTAATAAAAAGCCTTGCACTTACGACACGCTTTATGCTATATATTTTCACGCCAATAAATTTAGGGAGTACATGTTTTGGGTAAAAACCCTAATGTTGGAAAAAGACCATAAGTTGCTGCCAACATCAAGGAAGCAATATTGCCATAGTTTGTCAAGTCATGTCATTTTGACATTTGCTTTTGTTGATTTGACAAATGTTGAGAGAAGAAAATAAAAATTATACAATTTCATGCGGATGAAGCCGCACGGGAACAGTTCATCTGCAGTTGCAGATGTTTATGCAGTGTTCTCTTCGCCTTTTTGGCGAATTCAGGAGCCTACTCGCTTGTTTGCTACATTATAATATAAAATAACCGTTTATTACCTTGGGCGCGTTCACACAGATTGGAGTATAAAGCAAAAAATGTTTTAGAAAGCGTTTATTTTCTCTAAGGTTTCTCAGAAAGCTCCCTCTCCCCGTTGCTAAACTAGCAAAATGGGGATGAAAATGAGTCCACAACATAATGCAAAATAATTTTAAAAGTTTATGTAATGTATTCCAGTTGCCGCCAAACGCAGTAACGATATCCACCACACCGCCGATAGCTGATGAAGTGGTGATCGTGGGAGCCGGCTCATCTTCAGATGATGATTGCTTCGCGCCGTCGTCACTGGACTCGCTGGACTGCGCCAACTCCTGCAGCGGTCAGTGCCAACTTGACACACTATGACACTTTTACGATATGAACACACTTTTTGATGGCAATTTCTTCTGTATGATGTATTGTGCCACCTTATCCTCTACATCTATGCCAAATTTTATCAAGATCCATTCAGCAGTTCAGGCTACAAACTCTAACATACATCTAAAGTTTCATCATCATCACCAGCTCATGCGTCCCCACTGAGGTGTTTGGAGCTTACCCTAAGGGTGACTAGGACATATCTGAATTTCTTATATTTGTGCAGAAATTACGATGTTTTCCTTCACAGTAAGAACGTCGGGTAAATTATGTATGAAATTCGAAAATCACAATGGTACGGCGGGATTCGAACCTATGACCTGTAGATTACAAGTCAAGTGCTCAAACCCCTTGTATCGTCACCGCGTTCCTCATTTTATTATCTCAACCGACCTTCTTCGACCCTTTGTCATAATCCATCCTCCTTCGCTCTTTCTTCGTCTTTTGGAACGCTTTAGTTCGGAATTCGAAGTTTGAGTGGAGCGTTGACACATACGCATGCGGGGCTTAGGGAGAAAGGGAGTGTGAGTTAAGCAGTGAACGAACTAACAGTGCACCAAGACCACCTAATACGCGCAGCGCAGAACAACCAGGTAAGCCCCGCAAGTATCCGCTTCGGGGAACCTTTCCGAACCATACCGTCCTTTAGACTCGTACTCGTTATCCGACTTAATTTCAATACTATCCAAAGACGTGGCTATCCTCAAACACCGTTAAGCTACACCCCTGAACCATCAACTAAATATTGGCATTTATATAAATAAGGTTAGAGAGCGTCGGTGGCTCAGTTCAAGCCCTTGACTTGTAATCTACAGATCTTATGTTCGAATCCCGCCGTACCAATGTGATTTTCGATTTCTCAAATTTCATATGTACATAATTTACCCGACGTTCTTACGGTGAAGGAAAACATCGTGATGCCTGCACATATCAGCGAAGAAATTCAAAGATATGTGTGAAGTCAATCAACCCGCAGTGCAGGTTGACTATGGCCTAGTCACCCTAACTTAGGGTAGACTCGAGCCCCTCGGTGGGGGCATATAATGAGCTGGACAGATAATGATTAGTAAGATTATATATGCAGTTATCGTTTTTTAAATTGAGTTTTGTTAATTATTACAGAGAAGAGCCGAGGTCGTCGTCTGGATAGCAGCGAGGTACTGATCCTCAGCCCTGGAGCTGCCGCTGACTCCGGAGTCTTCGATGACAGCCTTGCTAATGGACTCAACCTGGTATGTCTGTAATAAATAAACTCTAAAACTACTAAACTGATTTTAAAAATTCTTTCATCATTAGAAAGGGATAACATCAAAAAGAGATGTACGATATTTTTATTAATAGAAGTAGTTTAAAAAATAACAAATTTAGACGACGTCGGTGGCTCAATGGTTTAAGCATTTCACTTGTATTTTACTGCTCTTGTGTCCAAATCCCGCTGTATCATGAGATTTTTGATTTTTCTAATTTCATATGTACATAATTTACCCGATATTCTAACCGTGAAGGAAAACATAGTGATGCATATTGGTGAAGAAATTTAAAGATATTTGAAAAGTCATGCGGTATTGACTATGTATAGTGTGCGTGCTGGTGATGATGATGATGATAAAGATAAAATAAGCCTTTATTCTCTGACTTTTTAACATATATTTCACTCTAATACGTGGTAATTACAGAAAAAAAGAAGTAAAACACAAAAAAGAATATGTATATGTCGGCTTGAGCTAGCACGATATCAGAATTACTAGTACTCGAGATCACATGTGGGCGGCCATGAGTAAAGTCGGATGTCAGGAACACATTCACAATACTCCTCAGTCAGGATATCATCGATCCACCAAGCTCGTGTCGTTTAAACAATGTTCTCGCAAAGATCCCTATTTTTAGAATCATCTAAGTTCTCTCAAAAGTCGCTTGGCGGCGCTCGTGTTCTAATTATGATTTAAATTCAAATTGATTTCTTCTTCTGATTGCGACATATACAAGTTTTGTCAGCTTTCAGGCTTTGTCAGGTTGTCCATCGACATAGGCCTCCCCTAGATCATACTAATATTATAAATGCGAAAGTTTAGATGGATGGATGGATAGATGGATGTTTGTTAGAGTTTGTAGCCTAAACGGCAGAACGGATTTCTATGAAATTTGGTATAGATGTAGAAGAAAGTCTGGAAAAACACATAGGCTATTCACATTTGTTTTTTAATTTTAATACCACGCGGACGGAGTCGCGAGCGAAAGCTAGTTCTTCCATAATTCCCTATCCTTATTTACTCCATCCCTTTGGTAAGTGATGATGATGGTGGTGATTAAATAGTTTCCTTTAACAATGTCAGGATACATCTCACGTGTCGGTGGTGACGGTGGGCGCGGAGGAGGTGCGTGTGCGGGACTCCGCCGCTACGCACATCGCGCTCGCGCCCACGAGACTGTCACCTGATAGCTTTGACAGGTAATGTATTAGGCCGCCCTTTCGCAAATCTAATATTACTTACTTAATTTAAGCTTTGTGTATGTGGGAATGGATTTTGGCGTGGAAAGGAACGGAACGGAAGTGTGAGGGAGAAGGCATGTGAGCGACAGAGAGAGAGGTTAAAGGGCAAAAGGTGAACAGATAGATCAAACGACGTAAACGGAGTAGGTAGTAGTGTAAGGAGTTGGTAAAAGTTTTAATTAATTTATCTGGCGTTTTACTTGATAGTCGACGGATCCCAAACACTACATGTATGTGCAAAAGTATTTAAAAAAAATGTACATTATGGACATATAATTGAAAGGAGACTACATGTAGAAACGCAAATCTTAAGATGGATGGATGTTTGTTAGAGTTTGTAGCCTAAACGGCTGAACGGATCTCGATGAAAGTCTGGAAGTACACATAGGCTATTTGCTATTATACCTGTCATGTATGGATTTGAGTGTTGAGCAGTGAAAGGAATGGATTAAAGGAGACTACATGTGGCAGAAATGAGTATACTAGAGGAAGTTTAAGAGTAGCTTCAGTGGTAGAAGGTAAGTAGTAAAAGGTTAGGATGGGGGCATGTTATGAGGAGGGATGAATCGCATGTTACAAGAAGAACGTTAGTTAAGAGTACACCACTAGATGTAGACATGTGTGAAAGGTGACATGATCAAGAAGGGAGTGACAGATGACGTATGATAGTTATTTGGAGAATTAACACCTGTTTATAGTTTATCCTTTTATATTCCAAGACGTTCGCAATCTGACAGCGGGTCGGTGGCATCGGCGTCGTCACGTCGCGGAGCTGACGCAGACTCGTTAGCGACCACGGCGTCGCACGACTCCGCGCACCACGCGGTCACACCCGACACACAACTGAATGGTGGCACAAGGTACTGTGGCAAATGACAACTAATAACGTTGATTCAGTTTACCTTCTTACTTGACTGTGATAAACCTTAAAAAATAAATATCAATCTATACTATTATAATAAAGCGTAAACACACACTTCTTTGTTGCCTAAGATGTCAGCAAATACACCATATTTTTGAATAATTCTTCTTTTAATAAAAAGACCTACATTTACGTCACGCTTTAGGCTATATATTTTCACGCCGTTACACTTAGGGGTAAATATTTTGGATAAAGACCCAAATATGGGAAAGAGACCATAAGTTGCAGCCAACATCAAGGAAGCAAGATTGTCAATGTTTGTCATGTCATGTCATTTTGACATTTGCTATTGATAATTTGACAAAATAAAATAAAATATTCATAATTTCATGCGGATGAAGTCGCATGGGAACAGCTAGTCAGAAATAAATTTATTTATATCCAAATTCATTTACTTTTTTATTGTGTATCCAGAGTGAACACGGACAGCCAGGAGATGGATAACGGAGAGCAGGTGGTGTTGAGGCGGAACAGGCAGGACCCCTCTAATCGTATGCAAAGGTAACATCTTAGTTATTAAAAAACACACATCTTATCCTACTCCTGTAGGCGCAACAGGGTTTTGTCTGCATGACTCTTACGTCATCTGTCACTCCCTTCATCATGTCACCTTTTACAGCATACATCTCTTTCTATGTCTACCTCTACCCGTGTACCTCCACACTCATAACTAACGTTCCTCTTGTTACATGATTCATCCCTTTATTAATTATCTTTAAAAACACACAAAAATGCAAAAGAAACAAAGAAAGGAAGATAAAGTGAAATTGGCAGTGGACAGGACGAATAAGAGAAATATCTTCCTTTCGTGTGTCCCTTCTCTGTCTTTTTATAACTTGCTGTTGCTCGCAACTTTGTCCGTGTGAAATTAATAAGTATAGCCTATGTTACTTTGATAACGTAGCTTTTTAATGGTGACTGGATTTTTAAACTCTGCCCAGTAGTTTTTGAGTTATTTCAATACATACAAAAATAAAATCTTTCCTCTTTATAATGTTAGTGTCTATGGGCAACTGTAGCTTGGTATTTAGCAATTTTCAGTAGCTTTGTCGTTTTGTAATATTTTTTTTATTTGATTTGCAGATCTAAAGAAGACATCCATATGGCAAACTTGAAGAAGAAAACGCGCAAGAGAACGAGGAAGTTTGAGATAGATGGTGTCATTGTTACTACAACAACGTCAAAGGTATAGTGCCATAGTTTGACACCCTGTAACAGGAATGTGATTTTGTTGAAATCTATACTAATACTAGCTGTTTCCGTGCGGCTTGATCCGCATGAAATTGTAAAAATTTTATATTATTGTTTATCAAATTCTCAGTCACAAATGACAACCAAGGTAACCTTAATTTCTCGATGTCAGCTTGTAATTTTTTTCCCACATGAAGGGTTTTTTCCAATTTATTTACCACCTAAGTTTAATACCTTCAAAATATGTAGCCTAAAGCGTTTCGTAAGTGTAGGGCTTTTTATTAAAGAAATAATTATTTAAAAATATGCTGTGATTACTAACATCCAACATAAATAAATAGTGTGTGTTTACGCTTCTTAATATTAATATAAATGATATAAATACTAGCTTTCCCCGCGACTCCTTCCGCGCGGCATTAAAAAAAACCAAGTATCCTATGTGTTCATGCTGACTATCCTCTACATCTATACCAAATTTCATTGAGATCTGTGCAGCAGTTTAGGCTACCAACTCCAACAAACATCCATCCATCCAACTAAAGTTTCACATTCATAATATTAAGTATGAAGTAATAGGTTTTTCCTACACGCGGAAGCCGCACGGGAACATAGTGTATGGATATGTATGTATGTATGTTGTGGTGCAGGTGATCTGGGGCGACGAGGAGAGCGGGCGCACGTGGGACGACCACGCGCTCCGCAAGCAGGAGCTGCGCGAGATCAAGATGCTGCAGAAGCAGGAGCAGAAGCAGTTCCAGGACCTCAACGCTAAGGAGCACCAGCTCAGGGACCAGCAGGATAAGAGGTAACTAGGAATTCCTACACTTCTCAGTTCAATAAACCATATGCACTAGGGAATTTATACTAATTTCTACTAATGTTATAATTAGGAAATATTCGTATTTTTGGATGTATTGAAATAACTCAAAAACTACTGGACTGATTTCAAAAATTCTCGCAACATTACAAAGCTATGTTATCACTGAGTAACATAGGCTATGTTTTTTAAATATTTCTTACGTAGAGTACTAGAAAAGTGTATTAAGCTATATATCGTAATATTCCAGATTCGAAGCAGAACTGGGCAGTCTATCGCGCGCACACGAGGCGGAGCTAGAGGCACTCGCGCGCAGTCAGCGCGCAGCTGCTGAGCGAGCTGAGCAGCAGCTGGAGGCGGAACTGCGCCAGCAGGCGAAGAGACTGCGCGCGGAACATGAGAGAGATCTGCGACACTTCAGAGATACATTGAAACAGGAGTTGAGGTTGTTGAAGCAGGAGGTGGAGTTGGTCGCTAAGGTTTGTGACGTCATAGCACTCATACTTCATACTAATGTTGTAATTGAGAAAGATGGATGTATGTTAGAGTTTGTAACTTAAAGTGCTAAATGGATCTCGACTTTTTTATATATCATAAGGTAACAAATGAGCAAGCAAGCACTTGAATTCGCCGTAATGGCGAAACCAACTGCTGTACATAGACATTTGCAATACCGAATGCGTTGCTTACCTTTAAGTGACAGAGGAGGAGACGCACATAAGATGTTTCCCCTACCTATGCGTCTTCTCTACCGTGAAATCCACGTTCCCTTCATATCCTTTTCTTATAAGAAAAAGGAAATAAATGGTCCTTCGGCACAACTCATTAGTGTACGCGGGATTGCTCCCATTTGACGTCTGTCTTCTGTGTGGTCGTGGTAGGGGGGGGGGG